GTAGAAAATTTAGAAAATTTAAACTTTCTTTCAGAAGCGCCATTTCTTGATTCCAAGACTCGTGAATACAACAACTGTAAATTTCCGCCTTTAATGCAAAATGTTATGAAACTTTGTTGTACAAAACACCCCTCTTGGCGAAATACTGCTTTTTTGACGATCCGACAACCGTTTTTACCATATGCGAACAGCTTTTACAAGGATTCTTTTAGAAAAAGTAACATTTTTCCTTTTCATTCGTAAAATCGGGAGGTTTAAATATAAATCAGGAGATTTGCCAAGAAATCGGGAGCCTCCTGATCAAATCGGGAGGGTTGGAACATTTGTGTTACATAGTGTCATAACCCGTTGAAAATCCGAATTACAAGATCTGGCTGATGGAATGAATGAGTTTGGTCTTGTTGACTTCCTGAAGAAACACAAAGATCTTGTTCACCCACTTCTTTTTCCAAGATCAGCAGCTTCTGTTATCAATAAAGATGATTTGAAAATCAGCCATTTTACCGTGACTCACATGACAAAGTCACAAAATTTTAGGATTTAAATGCATGTTTCTGCCACGTCTGATTTAGCAAAACCTAAACTCACTTCAGGCAAAAAAAACCCTAGGGAGATATTCACGATGATTCATTTAATTCCTGATAATTGTACTCACAGCCTCAGATATACCCATTTACTTTTTGTGACTCACGTGACAGCCAGAAAAGAAAAAATTCTACCTAATGGTATTCTTATATATTTTCCTGGCAAAGTAATAATTTTATATTTTTCTAACTTTCACAGTGCTCTCACAACGAAATTTTAAAATTCCTTAGCGTGAGCTCCAAAATTCCTCAGATATTCCCAAAATTCCTTAAATGACTTGTTTATCCTTGTAAGAACCCTGCAATCCCGTTCTTTCACCTCATGTTTTAAAACAAGTCGAAATAATCAAAAATAGTTTGGGATAGAATGAGTGACTTATCATCTTCTGAGCCGGAGGTTTTATCGGATGTAAATCCATCAGCAAAACCAGAATAAAAAAAAAACCCGATACAGCCAACAATTTAGACACCAGTGGTTGGAGGATCCAAATTTTAAAGATTGGTTAGATGAAATGTTAAAGAGTGGTTTGCCCTTCTCCCGGACATTCGAGCGCTACATGTAAACTATGCCATTACTTGCAGCAAAACCTTGCTTCAGAGGCATGCAGAATCCGAAATCTACAAAAGGGCAAAATCGAAATCTTGGTCATCAGGTCAAAAACAAGAAAATCTCATTCAATGTATTCGTCGGCAAGAGGGGAATAGCTTGTACAAGGAAATGGTCGAAAGCCGGGTATGTGCCGTCCTTGCAGAACACAATCATTAATGGACTTTTGTTGAAGTCAACAGCACCTGTTAATACCAGCGAAGTTGAGGTACTAAAAAAATATTCACTTGTCAACTACCCGTTGCACCAATATTTTGAGGCAAGGCCTTGGACTGTATTTTTCCCAGGACCTTGTACAGAAGCTACGTGAAACCTACTTCAGCATAAGTCCCGATGAAATGACCGACGTAACCACAGAAAAGCAGTTGGGGATCTGTGTGGTTTACTTTGACCAACAAAGAGTGCAGCCAGTATCAAGGTTCTTCGACATGGTGGAAGTAGAACAAGCAACCGCTGCTGGCCTCTATGGCGTGATTAAAAGTTTGTTCGAAGAAAAGAAAATCCCAATCACGAACATTGTTGGATATTCTTCGGACAATACAAATGTCATGTTTGGTGAGAACCAAAGTGTTGTCGCACTGCTGAAGAAAGATGCTCCATATGTCTTTGCCATGAAATGTAGCTGTCACATGATCCATATGTGTGCATCTTATGCTTGCCTGAAAATGTCAATGACGTTGGAAGACTTGTGTAGGAATATTTATTCTTACTTTAGCAGATCGAGCCTGAGACAGAAAGAATTTCAAGAGTTCCAAGAATTTGTCAAGGCTGAGCCACACAAGCTTCTGGGAATCGGTCAAACCAGATGGTTATCTTTGGAAGCGTGTGTGAGAAGGGTACTCGAGCAATGGGACGCTCTCCGCCTTTTTTTCACATCTGTAGTAAATGAAACGAAAGACCCTTCCTACACCACCGAATCAATCCTAAAAGGTCTCTCCAACAAGTACAGTTAGAATTCTTAAGTTACCAATTGCACCGTCTGAATGACTTCAACACGTTATTCCAGTCATCTGATCCCATTCTTCACCACCTTCACGATGAAGTACACAAGCTGCTTAAATCCATCCTGTCAGATTTCATGAAAGTTAATGCGGTTAAAACTTGCGATCCATTTACTGTTCCTCTCAATGACGCAAATCTTAATGTGCCTCTCAATAAAATTTACCCCATTTTGAGCGAATGTCATGATCCGAGAGTGGTAGATGCCACAAAGATGACATGTCTGGAATTCATGATAGAGCTTGTAAAGCAAATCAGATCGCGTTTCGACCTCAGTGATTCAGGGTACAGACCTGCTTGAGTTTATTCGTCCCGAGAATGCAGTGAAGTGCTGCCCTTCATCTCTCCAAGAAGTGTCTGCTAGGTTTCCATACTTGACTAGTGTTGCGGATAAAATGCTGGTCGATGCAGAGTGGAGAAAGCAGGCGTTGGGAAGAATCATCAGATACGATTGAAGGTGAATCATCATTACAGTTCTGGTAGAAGTGATTAAATGCACGAGCGTATGATGGAAAATTGAAATACGCTAATTTGAAGAAAGTCATTGGTTGTGTGATGTCCCTTCCATCCTCAAATGCTGCAGTTGAAAGACTGTTTAGCCTGTTAAAGTTGGTGAAAACTGACACCAGAAATTCCCTAAAGAGAGAAAGTCTAGTAGGACTCCTTTACACAAAAGAAGGTCTCAGAGCTTCACACAAAAGAAGGTCTCAGAGCGGAATCTTGTCATGCTCATGATCTCAAAATGAATCCAGAACTTTTGAGGTTTCTGAGAGCTGTCAAAAGCAATGCTACCAATGACATTGCTCACCAACTTATCGCAAATGTTCAAAACAACAATGAAGTAAATAACTAAATTAATATTAAATTGTTTTGTTGATGGAATCATTGGAATGTTAATACAAAGGATACATAGGACGCACAGTTGCGCCAAGAAACTATAATTATAACTTGTTGCTATTTTTAAATACATTTCAGTTTACTGTGACATGTGTAACGAGACTGAAAGAAAGGATATTCGTTTTTCTCACAATATTTTGAGGCTAAACAGCATTCTACCAAAACTGCCAAAGGCCTTTTTCTCGAAATATTTAAATTCCTTAGAAAATTCCTTAAAAATGGAATTCCTTAAAAAATTCCTTAAAACTTTGCAAAATTCCTATTTCTGAGGAAAAATCCTTAGAAGTGAGAGCACTGATTTACTTTCATAAAAAGTATACTGGGACATGACACTATCACTATATCAATTGATTTTTTTGAAAATCATCTTTTGTTTAACAGATAATCATACAAATGCAGTGTGACTCATGTGACACAAAAATGTGACTCATGTGACCAGTGACAAATAAAACCTATTAACTCAGTTTAAAACATGTAAAATGAACAATTTTTGGCTAGGTTAGCATCATAGTCAACAGAACTATGGATGTTCAATCAAACCTTACTCCATAGCATGAATCATGTGAGAAAAAATGTGACTCACATGACCAATAACAAATTATACCTAGAAACCCTGTAAAAACTGATATAACATTAAAAATATCTTGTGAAAATGCTAGTTAATCAAGTACACATCTAATGTTTGCTCAAATTTAAACCCCAAGGTATCAAACACTCTCACAAGCCACAAAATGTTATCGATCACATGTCCTCAACTTTGCTTCTGAAAGCTTCTTGAACATGTTGGTACTCGGAATCAGTTAACTTTACTGCAGAGCATCTAGAAGAGGAAAGTGGTGTTGGTGATTCTATTTTAATCAAAATGTCACATGCAGGAACTGTATCTATGTCATTGGTTGGCTTAAAACAATTTACGTCTTCGGCTGTTTGATGTACAAATTCCATAGTGACCCGCCGATCCAACTCAATTTGCAATTCTCTGCCAATAAACTGATAGTTATTTGGTCTCCAGTACACAGCATACCACTGACCAATCTCTGTTGCAATTGGTATAACATCTTGGGGTGATCTGCTGTCACAATCACTACTTTCAAGGTCTGAAGATTCATCTACGACATTGTTTGTTGAAACTTCTGCTGCACTGTACCTTTTGGTAGTTAACTCGCCCTTATGATTGATTCCAACCCAGTGATACTGACTTATCCCCTGTATCTGGGCTGCATTTGCAAAGACATCTCGAAGGTCAAGGCTCTTCTCTCTTTCTTGCACTGCCTCTGCTGTGATGAGGGTAACTACAATCTGGGATCCTTCGTCGACAGCCTTGAAGAAATCTGTGGCATTATTGATGACACATTGCCTCATCTTAACTCTGTTGGTCGCTTTCCTCTTTACTCCGGTACATTAATGCCTGGGTCTCAGTTTGTGTATTTAGCGAAAATAGACAAAAAATCATAAAAAATAAGTATGGCCTTGATTATTACCATTCAAGTTTTATATGATTTATCAAAGGAATTTCTAAAAGTTGACCTACTTTTCGTTGTCATGGCAACGATCACGTGATGTATATTTCGAAAAACAACACAAAAAATGATACGTTTTATTCAGAGGCTCTGCAGCAGTATATTCCGTGACTGAGAGGACGCAGAATTGCGATAATCATTCACACATAATATCACTGTTTATTGAATAAATCCGGAAAGTTTACATTTAGGCTTCGTTTCATTATTTTATGCGGCTATATTACGATGATCGGCATCAAACGAATGTTAATCGCGTCATTAAATGTTATCAACAAATAAATGTACGGTTTCCAAATTAACGCAGGAAACTTTGTTCCCTTGTTAATGTTTTCAGCTAACAAAAATAGCAAAATTTCGTCAAATTACCCTGCTGCAAGTCGAACACGTTTTTCGCGTGATGAATTTCACGCGCCATAATAAAACAGTCTGGTGCTTATTGTAAGGGATATTATATTTCCAATAACAACATTCATTGCACATTCAAGCCAATATCTTGAAGCATAGTTAATACTTGAAGGGAAGTATGCCATGGTGGAAAAGACCGAGTGAACTATATGTGCGATAATTAATTTGCAATTCACAAGCAATTTTTCATTGAAAATAAGAAGCAATCAACAATTAATACTGAATAATCGCAAGATAGCACACTATAAGAAGCTTTTATTTATCAGCAGTTCAAAGGTCAGCTGTCGCAAATGATAAAATACTTATTGCTATACAAAGAGCCAATTATTACATCAAAACTGAATAGTATACCGACTTCTTTGCATTGTATATTCCAAAATAATCCTGTCGCTCATATATACTATATTTTGATTTGAAGCAAACGTCCGAATTCACTAAAATACTCATACAAGGGGTGCATATTCTAACAGACACATTACTGACAGATCGCGCGTGCAACACACGCGCAAGATATCATCCAAGCGTGGGCAGGCCCAGGCATTAACATGCCTGAGTAAGCACCCACCAATACCATCGACAGGACCTTTCCCATGGCGAGTGGCACTGAAATTCCATTCAAGGTTTACTCCATACTTCTTTGAAAGCATCCTCATTCCTTCCATCATAAATTTATTTTTTAATTGGCTGGATGGTCCATCGGTCCAGATTCTCACTTCTTTGACAATTGAAGGCAGGTTTTTCAGAATTTCATCAAGAAATACCATGACTGAGGATACAAGATTTACAAGATTTATTTACTTTGTATGTTGCATGCAGTCATTTACAATCACCTTGGACATAACTTCCCTTTGAGCCAGGTAACAGTGGTAAAGAGGGTAACTTGATTTTGGTTCCAGTGAGCTGATTGGATCTCATCTTGAGCTATATCACTGTCCTGCAATGAAGCCAACTCTTTATCCAGCTCATATTGCTTTGATTGGAGGCGTTTGATGTGGCAGTGGGCTAAAAACTTCTTTGATATGGAGCAGATGTGGTCGTACAAATCTTGGACTCTTCGTGTGTTCTGGAGCTTGGCCAGTCTTCCATTTGCTTCTTGCCATTTCATCCACTTTGCTGGTAAGTTCTTAACTGTGTCAGGTAATGGGTACTTTTCTTCAAAGCCACAACCATCATGTGAACAGTTGCCAAACCAACATAAATCACTCTCTGGATTGAGCACACATGAAGCTGAAAAATCTGTGGAATAAACCGGTATGCCAGGAACATGACTATGGATTGCACCTAATGCCAGGAACATATTTTGGTGGTAAACACATGTGCAGACATTGGATGGTGTTTGTGAGCTGAGGAGAACATTTGGAGGATGCAACGTTGAAAATTTGGTTAACCCAATCTTCACATTTCGATTCTCATCTTTGAAGACCCTGTATGTTTCTTTGATGCTCATGTAAAGATGTCGATTTTGCAATTTCTTCTTTCCATCCTGGTCCTTAATGGTTACAACATCTCTCTTGCCCGGAGCCATTCGACTTATTTTGTCGCTAGTGTAAAAGTTCTTCACTGCCTCTATTGCTTCAGCAGCAAGTGATAATAGGTGTTTGTTGGCTTTGGTGGCAACATCCTCATCCTTGCCAAATTCATCTGCAAGTTTCCACAAGACATTTCGATGCTTTCTTGACCTGGCTGGAAGTGATTTTTTAACGACATTGACAGCTCGATTTAGGGAACTTGTGCGACAATATGCTTTACCAGAGCTCTGTGCTGATCCTAATGGACTTAACACTGTTCTTGTTTTTGCTCGGCTCTTTTGCTTCCTAATTCTATCCTCTCTTCTTTCTAAAACTAACTGATCTTTTTCTTCTACAGTAAGGCTTTCTAGTCTAAGTGTCTGCTTCTCTCTATACTTTTTGACAGTGTTTGCATGTTTAGCTTTATACTCCTCATATCTACCTTCTTTCTTAAGCTTCTCTCTTCTTTTCTTTTCTTTTGTCTTTCTGCTGCACTTAGTGGCTTTTTTTATTTGTATTCATGAGAAACCTTTGGCAATTTGTAAACAAGTTGAAATTTTGAAAAAAAATAATTTGTTGCCTTGGTAACCTGGCAAAACATAGGTTGCCCAAGTAAAAAACCTATTATTCATCAAGAACCTTGTTCTTATCCCCCCAAAATGTACTTTTTCAAAAAAGAACAATACTTGTTCTAATTGCTGCATAATAATTGTCGTTCTAAACACCTTTCCCACAATGCCCAGGGACAACCATGAGCAAAAACGTTTATGATTTGATGAGGGTAAGGTCCTGTAGAAACTAGAAATAGTATTGTAGTGGCTATTGTGTTAATTTGCATTTTTGGCATTGATGTGTCATTTCTGTGAAATGGCTGAAATGATTATTGAACTTGAAGAGGAAGATCCTACTGGTGATCAATTGATGTTGTTTTTGAAGCAATATATTGATCTCATTGATGGCGCAACTAATGGTAAGTATTTTCAGTGATGGATTTGCTGGGGGTGTGCACCCCTTAGCCTTGGCCAGAAGGGGTGCAGGAGGGGTTCCATAACTAGTCTAAATAATGGTTTGGCAAGGTATTTAAAAAAAAACATATATTGGGCCATTGTGGTCCTTTTTGACCACCTAGGCAATTATATTTTTCCAACATTTTCTGACAACCATTGCACATGGTTGTCAGTGGTCATGTTCATGCCAGTTCCCACTTCGCACCCCACCCCACCTTCTCAAAATAATTCTGAACGCCCTGTTAATGTATGAGTAGTATACATTGGAGTATGAACCTCAGAAACCTTATTAATTTGCCATAGGGCCAAATCTAAGAGATCTTCTTTCTTTCTGGACTGGATGTGATTTGTTACCTGCTGTTGTTGCGATCTTGCATTCTCACACGATCCCTTGATAGTAATAAGTAGTAATAATATTTAATCAGGAAAACTTTTTCATTGAACAAGGATTTTCAAAAAGGACCTGAAATGATACATTAACCCTTGCATGCTTGTGTTTATGTTTATATTTGGCTACAGCTAATCAATATGCATGCAGGCAGCAGACGCACACAATGTTCGTAGAATTTCTTTGCTAAATATTCGTTTTTAAATGTTGGATTTGGATAGTGATTCTGAAGATTTATGATCCTAATTATTATGGTTCACCAGTACGCCATTCTCTGTCTTTGGAAGGCCCTTCAACATCGACTGCTCAGATACCTATCTTTCCTTAATGAACGCAGGTGATTACTCACTGTTACTCACACTTTTTATTGCTATGCATGATATATTCTAAGATAATTTTCTTTCATCTTTAATTGTGTACATCAATTTTCTTAGTTTTGCCAGTGTACCCGTTGCCGAAAGAGTGGGAAAAAGCAGCGAGGTTGTCCCTGCAGAGATGATGGTTTGTTTTGCTCGGAGAAGTGTTCCTGCAGAACTGCAAAAGCTCTGTATAAAAATAGAGTGGATGTTGCAAACAAAGCAGTAGTTTCCAATGTCGGGTTAAATGCATTCGAACGCCATTGTATATTTTATTGGCTTTGTAGAAGTCATAAAATATCATCTTTCGTTTTCATGGTATTTTAATGGTAAATGTTGGACTGTTTAATACAATATACATTAGATGAAGCAAAAATATACACTTTTGACTTATTGCCAGATTTTTAATACTGTGTGTAGATGTCTGAATATTTATAATTATGCTATTGTGCCAAATCAATGTCTAATGCCAGACGATTTTACTCATCAGGGCACAGAGTATACAGAGGCGGAACTCGCTGCAATTCCTTTTTGTTATTTGTGTCCCCGTGCCACGTCATTTCCACACGCCATGCAAATTGCTCTGGCAAGTGTCATTCGTCGTGTTTTCAGTCAAAAGCATAGGAAAAACGTAGTTCGAAAGTAGAAAAATAAATATTTTTGCGAAGTTACTCCACCGATCATCATTTTGGGACTCCATTTTGAAAGATAAATGGTAAGTGGTTATTTTTATGTAAAAAGATATAAGTTTATAGGCTAAATACAAAGAAAAAATTACTATAAAATTTTGCACCGCATGGCCATATTTTACAATCTCTGTGGTTGTGATGTTCTTCCGAGAAGCAGATTCCCATTTCCCAGACCTGCAGCTTCCACACCATTCCTGTCAAGGATATGCATGTCCCTGATCATGTTCTTTTCCGTGTAACTCTTCTTGTCTGCATGGTTCATAGGCCAGAAACACTTGATTTTCTCTTCAGGCTTGACGAATTGTTCACAGTCCTTATGATCTTGAGCTAAAGCCATGTAAGACAGCCTCTGTGTAGAGGTCCAACCCCTCATGTGGTAACAAATGGACCATCTGTGTGACCTGCACAATGGCTCCAAAATTCTCATAGATACCTACCAGGCCAGACATTGTCAGCAGAAAGTTGAGGTTCATTAATTTTCCCTTCAACTCTCTTGCCTTGTCAGCTTTCTCCCTGGTTCGAGTTCTCGTTAATATATAGCATATATAATCGTAAAGTTGTATACTTTACCTTGGCCAGTTTCTTTGTTAGCTTAAAAGACTTGTGCCAGATGTCTAATGCATGGAACAAACCACCAAAATCATGTGGGTATTTATCTAAAAAGAAATCACAAATTGCATGATTGAACATAGTTAAAGAGATATTTATATTCAAAGCTGTGTCAGCAGTGGCGTGCTGGCAGGGGGGCCGGGGGGCCACGGCCCCCCAGCTGGCAATTTTTGGGGGGCGCAGAAATGAAAACGGGGCACCGATTCTGCCAAATTTTGAAAGTGAGTGGGAAAAAACGCATTTGAAAAAATATAGTTACTTCCAGCAAGAAAAAATGTGTTTATAGGCTTATAAACAGGCTGAGCGCATAGGCGACAAAGTGATGTATATTAAATTACAGACTATTTTGTCTAACCAGCCAGTATCAGTGCTACCTCACACGAAATCGTTCATATAGAAACATGATCAGTGATCACACGCAATGTCACATTACCGGAATATTGGTCAGGTTTCGAAGTGATCACGGGAATTATGCCCTTTTTTGCTGGTATTTATACCCTTATATTATGCCTTTATTATGCTTCACAAATCACGAGAGCGGCGCAAATTAGATAGTTATGATAATGTAAAGTTGTGTACGCAATTTAGTTGTTTGCGCAAGAAACATCATGACTCATTGAGTAATGTAAGTAATAAGATAATGCTGAAACGTGCGCCCTTTTGGCAGCCAAGCAAGGAAACCTTAAGGTGCATGGTGTACCACTGACATCGACTTGCACCGATGTGCAGATGAACTGCTCAACTTTGCAGAATCTTTTCAAAAATTGAAGTATTCAGTGATTTTTGATGAAGACAAAGAAGAAGAGAAAGATTCTGATTTAGACTTCGGTTCTGAATCTGAAACCTAAGACCACGAAGAAGAAACCGACAGCGAGTCAAGCGACGACGGAACTGCTGAAGAACCAAAGGACAAGGATAAACCATCATTTCTAGAAGCTCTGAGAATTTTGTTGAATCCTGATTACCACCTAGTTGATGCATTTCCAACTCTTTGTAAAGTTTACGCGATCGCAGTTGCAATTCCAATCAAACCCGCACACGTTCGTCTATATGTCTCAAAAAAAACTTGAAGCGTTGCTACTTATGACCACTGAACAGAAGATTTTAATGTCTTTGGAAAAGGAGCAGATTATTACCGCCTTGGAGGTCTGACATCAGAATTGTCGAAGCTAGGTCTTATATGAAAATGTTTAGAAATGCTAGAAATCGAGAATCGTTATTGAAACATTAAAGACATTGGAGAACATCGATCGATCGATATGGGCAATATTTGACGTTATCAACATTCGATACAATACGTGATATATAGTACTAACTATCAAGTGATGAAATGTATAGTATTAACTCTTTTTGTATGTTTTGACAAAAAAAACATGACAGATTCGTATCAATAAAGTGCAAGCACACTTTTTAGTTAAACATTACAAGTTATTAGTGAGATCGGCGTTTAATATAAATCAAAATATTTTATACAAATATACTCAGCGAGTGATTTTATTCCTCCATAATTAATCTAAAATAAAGATTTATAGTAAAACTGATACCGTACTACTACTAGTTTAAATTAAGTACTGCTACAAAATCTAACCAAATTGCAAATTTCGACACGTTATAATCTTGTTTCCTGACCATCAGATTTCTGTCAAATCTTCCCCCAAAGTCCAGGAAATGGCATTTCAGAGACTCTAAATTTAAAATTTCCCGGACCCCCCTAGGAATATCTCGCACCTGCGGCGCTCGGCTCATGCCTTCGCCCCTCGTTTATCAAGCGTTACATTGTAGAGCCGCATATTGGTTGATAGCTCACTGGCCTCCCCAGAAAAATAGTACCCAGCACGCCACTGTGTGTCAGAGAAATCCTTTAAACCAGTAAATTGGAATCACCCTACCACTGAAAAGTAAATATAGACAGCATATACTAAGAAATTATAAACAGCATATACTAAGAAAATACATTTGGAGCATTCAAGCTAACAAGAATAACACACTTCAAGGAGAATGAGAAATCCAAATAAATTATCCACTTCTTTTTACTCAATGTACTATACCTTTCATGTCCAGGCATCAGTGGCAATCTCTGACATAAGCAGCTTGCCCACAATCCTTTCCAAGAGCTTCTTTAGAGTGTACATCTCCATATTTGTTGATACACCACCCGCTTGAAATGAAATTCAGGTCAAGGAATTTACTGAAAAGCGTATGTTTGTTGTAATGGCCTCCAGAAAGCAATGTTCTGTACCTGTTGGGGAAACGTGTCTCTCAGGTGATGAAATTTTGTTTGTGGCTACTGCTATTTCCATGGATTTTTGCAGCAAAATCTCTGCAAATTCAGGGGCGCCGGAAGCAACATGAAGCGGCGGGGGCAGCCATTTAAAAAGGGCACTTACTCTTGACCCTTGGGGGGGGGGGGCAATGTTCGTTAACATTTTGCTGTATAACGGATATTTCATTACTTGTAGCTAATACAGTTAGGGGCCGACCATTTAACTTTCGAGGGGGGGAGGGTGAGGGTGATTTACTGCTGGCAGGGAATTGTTTTTTCTGGGATCGTTATGTGCAAGTTTTTTTTTCTGTCCCAACACCATGTACGATTTTTCTTTTGCCACTCTCTTTCGCAGCATTTTTTTTCAATGCTTATACTATTTAGATTCTTTAATTATATAGTTAACGTTGAGTTTTTAGCTTCATGCATTGCTTGGTCTCTTTTAAGGCAGGGCCGTAGGAAGCTCTTTTCGGGGCGGAAAGCGAGGCCGAAGGCTCGAGGAAATTTTTAAATTTAGAATCTCTGAAATGCCATTTCCTGGTCTTTGGTGGAAGATTTGACAGAATAGTGATGGTCAGAAAACAGCGTTTTAGTATGTTGAAATTTACAATTTAGTAGTACTAAATGGGCGAATGCGTATTTAATCAACTATATATCGGATAAGTTGCAGGCAAGTCTGTGTCGCTCATAGAAATATGGTGTCGCTGCAGCTACCTGCAGCATATATATGCATGGTTTAACTAACATATAAGTATGCGCCATGGGGCAGCAAATCAGGCCATACCTAGGATTCGGAGACAACCGAGTCGACCACCAAAGATGGGAGCCTCTAGAGGGGTTTGGGGGCATGCCCCCACCCAGAAAATTTTGGATATCTTGAAGCTCAGATAAGCATTGGTAAAGCAGATAATATTGGTAACGTTTCTGAGAGGAATTCATATTTAAATAGGAGCTAAATTAATTGTTAAAAACAGTTTTCAATTTCAATTCATGTGAAAAACGCACGACGTTCGAAGTGCAGTTCTGGTAAAAAAGGCAACCTGCTGCCCCCGTGCTGCCCCCGCACTCTTTAGGCAACGGGGGAAGCTGCCCCTGTGGCTCCGGCGCCCCTGTGCAAATTCACTGTGGGTTTTGTTGGAATAACCCATTTCTTCTTTTTGTATGTTCCACTGATGAAAAACGTCGGTCGCCAGCCTCATACACGAAGTCTTGCCACCATAAACAGACAGCCTTCTACGTTTCGGGAGTGAAGAACCATCAGATTTGCCCATTACAAACATTATGCCACAAAATAACACACAAATATACAATATATAATTGCCTTGCTTCGTTTAGAAATAAAAATAATGCAGTTTTCAAGTAAGATTGAGATAAATATTGACCGATTTAAAGAAATTCCAGAGATCACACATAAATATCCTGAGAGTCATTTTCTGGGATGCCAAGCATGCAAGGGATCATTCCAATAAAAATTCCATATACTCAAACAAAATTCACTCAGTTCTTAACAGGGTTTTACCCAAACTCCTTTGTATTCTACCCTACTGATGGTAACGAAATATTTGCTATAATAAGAGATCTTAATCCTAATAAATCACCAGGTCCAGACTGTCCAGATCCTTCTGTAATCAAACAGGCTGCAGAGCCACTTGCACCCATTCTTTCTACATTTTCAATATATCAATGGATTCGGGCAACAAACTTAAAAAGTTGCCAAAGTTCTCCCCATTTCCAAAGCTGATGATAACAAACAATTCTCTAACTATTGTCCCATATCAATACTCCCAATTTTTTCAAAAATTCTTGAAAGAGTTGTCTATGTAAGATTTATAAAATATCTTACTAAACACAACATTCTTTCTGATAATCAGTTCGGATTCAGAAATAATCATTCAACCTTTATGGCAGTTTTGGACTTAATTGATTACCTTTCAAACTCAATTGATAAAAAATAATTTTCTGTAGGTGTATTTATTGACTTAAGTAAAGCATACATATAGAGAAACTTAGGCATTTGAGCATTAATGAGGCATTTGAGCTGATTATCTATTGTTTTTAATGTGTTTGGCACATGAGAAGCTCAACATTTGAAACAGGTCTTAGTCACTATGGGATAAGAGGAACACTATTACTTTGGTTTTCAAATTACCTTTCTAATAGGAAACAATTAAATTCAATAATATACTGTTGACATACAAAACTATCAATTGCGGAGTTCCTCAGTGGTACAGACTTGAACCTCTATTGTACCTTCTATATGTGAATGATATTTCCAACTGCTCTTCCCTATTAAAAATAACCCTGTTTGCAGATGACACCACTCTCTTTTCTTCAGGAAAAGACCTTACTCAGCTGATACAGATTGCAAACCAAGAGTTCAGTGTTATAGCCACCTGGTTTACATCAAACAAACTTTCCCTAAATTTACAGAAACACATATGTATTATTTTCTGTGCTAGAAACAAGCACCATACAAAAACAACTGATATTAAGATAGATAACAAACTCAACAAACAGGTTTAGTTCTATAACATTCCTTGGTACATATCAATAGTGTTTATTCTGCCTAACCACCCGATTAGCGCGTTTGACGCCGGCTGACAGCCGGAAATTTTGTCTCCGATTGCTCGGCTGCCAGCCGGGCTGTACTATAGTATACAGTATTTGTTCAAAAAATGTGCGCATTTCGGAGACTGGTTCTAGAATGTTTCATAAGCAGAAAACCACCAAAATTACATTAATTTTTCCTAAAATCATCGAAATGCATCCAAATTCATCTTCCCAATGCATATAGCTAGCTATGCGACAGGTAAATAAACGAGAAAAAAAAAATTTCGGCAAAGAGAAAAATTCAAATTCGCTTGCGCACACTCCGGGATTGAAACCACGACCCTCAGCATACAAGCTCAGTGTTGTCCCCTTGCGCTACCATGTCTTACATGGAAAATATGTTAATTAATTATATATATATACAAGTTATTCTTAGCCAGCGCGATTTATGATTGCGTAAATACGTACACCATTGTACACGATACAATACTTAGTTACAATACATCACGGCATAGATCACGGCTACCAGCCAGGGTTATTTAACTGTAATACAACTCTATAATGCAATATGAGTGTCAGCCGAGCCTGTCGGTAGTATACTATAGTATACTACAATACATCACGGCTACCAGCCGGCAATACGGCTATAAGCCGGGCATATCTGTAGCATACTATAGTATACTACAAAACATCATGGCTACCAGCTGGGGTTATTTAACTGTAATAAAATACTACAATGCAATACGAGTGTCAGCCGAGCCTGTCGGTCGTATACTATAGTATACTACAATACATCACGGCTACCAGCCTGCAATACGGCTATTAGCCGGGCGTGTCTGTAGTATACTATAGTATACTATAGTATATTACAAAACATCACGGCTACCAGCCGGGATTATTTAACTGTAATGAAATACTACAGTCTACAATGCAATACGAGTGTCAGCCGACCCTGTCGGTAGTATACTATAGTATAGTAAGTATACTACAATTCATTGCGGCTACCAGCCGGCAATACGGCTATCAGCCGGGTGTGTCTATAGTATACTATAGTATACTACAGACACGCCGGGTGTGTCTGTAGTATACTATAGTATACTACAGACACGCCCGGCTGATAGCCGTATTGCTGGCTGGTAGTATACTACAGACACACTTGGCTGATAGCCGTATTGCCGGCTGGTAGCCACAATGTATTGTAGTATACTATAGTATACTACAGACACGCCCGGCTGATAGCCGTATTGCCGGCTGGTACCCACGATGTATTGTAGTATACTATAGTACACTACAGACAGGCCCGGCTGTTAGCCGTATTGTCGGCTGGTAGCCGTGATGTATCGTAGTATACTACAGTATACTACCAACAGGCTTGGCTGACAGTTGTATTGCATTGTAGTATTGTATTACAGTTAAATAACCCCGGTTGGTAGGTGTGATGTTTTGCAGTACACTATAGTAATAGTATACTACAGACACGCCCGGCTGATAGCCGTGATGTATTGTAGTATACTATAGTATACTACCGGCAGGCTCGACTGACACTTGTATTGCATTGTAGTATTGTATTACAGTTAAATAACCCCGGCTGGAAGCCGTCATCTATGCCATGATGTATTGTAAGTATTGTATTAAAGTGTAGATACGGCTCGGCTGCTACTGTAGCCTTGGCCGTATACGATGGTGTACATATTTATGCAATATTTAATCGTGCTGGCTAAGAATAACCTGTATATATACAATAAATTAACATATTTCCCGTGTAAGACGTGGTGGCGCAGGGGAACAACACTCAGCGTGTATGCTGAGGGTCGTGAGTTCGAGTCCGGAGTGCGCGCAAACGAATTTGAATTTTTCTTTTTGCCGAAATTTTTTTTTTCTTGTTTATTTACCTGTCGCATAGCTAACTATATGCATTGGGAAGATGAATTTAGATGCATTTCGATGATTTTCGGAAAATTAAATGTAATTTTGGTCGTTTTCTGCTTGTGAAACATTCTAGAACCAGTCTCCGAAATGCGCGCATTTTTTGAATGAATAGTATACTATAATACAGCCTGGCTGGCAGCCGAGCAATCGGAGACAAAATTTCCGGCTGTCAGCCGGCGTCAAACGTGCTAATCGGGTGGCCTAACACCAGGCAATGTTATTTGTTGAAAATATTCAGTGATAAAGATGATTGCCACAGCTTTGTAGAAAGCATGTTTTAGTTGTTTTAGCAGCCCAATTGAGATACGTAGTAGGTCTTGTACACCTATAAACAGTACATAACAAAGTCTGTGCTCTCTTTGTTTATCTTTCAGTTGTTTTCATCAATGGAAGTGGTTACACATGAGGATATTCTTGCCATAACATGGACAAGATTAAGATGATGTGATGTGGTGAATGATGACGATATAGCTCTGGAGATGAAAGCTGTTACTGGTACTTCAATATAGCTGTGAACCTTGGTTGCATTACAATACCCTTCATCTCAATATCTTCAATGGAAGGCTTACTATCTTGGCATAAAAAGAATCACACTGTACTACCATATGAAATGTGTGATGCTATGCTGTACTGCATTGAAACAACCACTACTAATAGTGTTTGCCATAAATAGAAATGCAAAATTTGTGTTGGCTGAGTCTCGTAATACCGACTTTTCTAGCACTCAAAATAACGGGTCAAGGGTCAATCATTTGGCACACAAAATAATATAGAGTAGTTACATAAATTGTGTATTTGACCCCAAAACTCTGGTTTGAACATCATACTGACCCATTAAATTCCCTGATTTGTTTCAAGTGCTGTTTTTTGTTTGTGCTGTATTGAGAACTGACTGTGGTTATACCCAGGTTTTCTTTGCCCTGCAGGTTATTTCTTGGCATTTTCTATTATATGCAGCTGTAGCATAAGTGTTGGTATTCTGTGATGCCATCTTACCAATTCTGCAGTTTTATATGGTTAATAATAAACAATGAACTGATTAAATACCTGCTAACAGTCTTAACACATGGTATGGTTCTATTTATTTCACTCTTATAAAAGATACTTAGGCCCGGTTTAGATGCCGTGCTTTTCATGAGCCGAACTTAATTCATATTTTACTCGAGTAAAATAGGCGTACTTCCAATTTTGATTTAGACAGGCGTGCTTTTCATGAGCCGTACTTAATAATTTGTGCTGCTTCACTTCGAAACCTGGGGCGAGTGACAATTCATAATAAGAAAAAAGGGTTTATCACATACAATCTTGGCATTTCTGAGCATCTACAGGTTTGTGGTTATTAAAAATTTCAATTGCTTTTTGAAAAGCCTTATTACTACAAACATAGCATAATGCCTGGATATAATGTGTGGGAAAACGAGACCTATATAGGCTTAGGGCGAGTTTTTCCACATTATTCGAGTTCTCCCAAACTACTACAAGTGTTTCTATAACTGTATGGGTCATACATAATAAATATTTTATATTTATTTCTTAATATAACTAAAAAAAGATTTGTAGTAGACTCGATATATTTACAAATTCTCATTGCGTAATAATGCCGAACTTTGCTCCATCAATTTACTCATAAGCTGCCTAAAATAGGCAGTCCGTTTTCACATTATTGCTAAAGCACGCGTGCTATCGTGCTATGTAGTTTTTCGTCCCAGTACCCAAGTTCACTCGCTCGCACCACTCCGCCACGTTGTTACATTTATTGCGTTGAAAACACTGAAAATATTCCGGGTTTTATTCAAGATTTATAGTTTTATTTTCGGTTTAATATATTTTTATGTCGAGGAAAAAGAGACGTAGTGGTCTGTTTGACCTAGACAGAGTAAAGGTGCGGTCACACGGAGCGACAAGTCGCAGGGGCATGTTGCAGGGACATGTCGCGGGGTCGAATTTCATCGTGTGTCACATGTGTAAGCGTTGTCGCGGGGACAAAAAATTGTCCCCGCGACATGTCGCATGAAATCAAATTGATTTGATTTCATGCGATGTGTCGCGGGGGAAAAAAACCGTTGCCGCGACTTGTTGCATCGTGTGAGCTAGTCTGTTCACAAGTCGCGGGGAAATAATTAGTCCGACCAATCACAAAATATCATTCCCATGACTACTTGCACGCTCAATTTCAATATAAGTCCTCGTGGGAGTTCTTTGACTTGTCGCATGAATTGTCGCCTCGTGTGACCACGCGCCTGTAAGCGCTTGTGCGACTTGTTTTCGCCTAGCATTGTCGCTTCGTGTGACTCGTTTCGGGCGACATGTCCCTGCAACATGCCCCTGCGACTTGACGCTCCGTGTGACCGAACCTTAAAAGAGAAAATCGAGGATCAAAACGTTTGCTTCAACCGCGTTAAAGAACAGCTTGGCGCATTGCGAAAGTTTAATGTCCACGACTTATATTTGGTGAAAGGTCTGACCTTTACTGAGGACGAAACGCTTCAACTTCTCGCCGCACAATTGACTTTTCAAGGTGTTTGTAACCTTAGAAAAGCGATACAACATGTTCCGTCTAACATAGTGCGAATTACGGCAGGAAAATCCTTACGAGCATCGTTAATATGGGATGCTTTCAACGCGCTTTGCACGTCGACATATTGTGATGTTTATGAGCTTTCACGCTATACAGAGATTATGAACGGTGGTGCCCTAAATTTCTTGATGTGGATGAATCCAACATAGATATGGAAACAAGCAACAAGTTTCTTTCACCACCAGTTGGAACATGCACCAAGTGCGACAAAATACTGTCCATGCATAATAACCCGTCAACCGCAACATTGTTCACGTTGGATGGGCCGATACTTTGTTCCAAAGTCACACTTGAGTGTAGGAATTGCGCTATCCATTTTGGGCCGAGCAATTTCAGCGACGAATGTGGCACTCATCTTTATCCAGCAGACATTGATGATAATACATTTGTGGAGGTCAGCAACGTGACTTACTTTGACTTGGCTTTGTACCGTTGGATTCCTTCTCTAAGGTTCATTCATTGTTTTGCTTCAAATTACTTATTTAACACTTTGTTTTCCTTCAAATTATTTTAAATTTTTTTTTTATAACATTTTCTAGCCATCACTGTTGGGTATCCTTCAGTGGATTCTCAGAGGCTTATAACGAAATATACCAAGAGCCAATCAGCCGATATGCTTCGCGCGTAAAAGGTAAATAATTAGTACATTAGTATTACAGTATATTTTTGCAATTTTCAAATTTAAACATGTGCATTTGTTACTAAATAATAAACTCTAATTTATCGGCAAATACTGTGATAAAATTGTAAATTCCGCACCTTTTATACAATGAATCGACGAAACATGTATCCCTTTATGCTACAAATCATCATATACTGAAACAAAACTTTTTTACTGATAAATCTGTAACCGCTACAGAAAAACAGAACAAAATTACAGTAAAAACACAACAGAATACAGAAGCGAAAGTGGGACACTTTTTGTATTTATCCCTTTATGCTACAAATCATCATATACTGAAACAAAACTTTTTTACTGATAAATCTGTAACTGCTACAGAAAAACAGAACAAAATTACAGTAAAAACACAACAGAATACAGAAGCGAAAGTGGGACACTTTTTGTATTTTGACTGTATATCGACTATCTATAAAATTACAACAACTTGGAGACCTTGGACAATAGTGACACAAATAATTTGCAAGTAGAGGCTAGATCTATACCAAGTTAATTATATAATGTCTGTCTAAAGGCTGGATCACACTGTCAATGCGATTGTAATAGTGACACAAACAATTTGCAAGTAGAGGCTATAGCTCGGGCTATAGTATGCGGCACGCAATAATTGGCAAAATTATCTATACCAAGTTATTATAATGTCTGTCTAAAGGCTGGTTCACACAATGCAATTGCAATAGTGACACAAACAATTTGCAAGCAAGTCTTGTCAGCAAGTGGACTACATTACATACATTACAAAAGCAAAATTGGATCCGACAAAATGGAATTGTGTGAACTAGCCTTGATGATTGTTGTTTATGTTGCTTTACCTATATACAGTATGTGAGTGTATGTCTAATATTTGCCTATTTGGTTGTTGTTGGGTCTTTAAATTTGAAAGAAACAGGTGAAGATGCAGATTGCAATGTTGGTATGTATGGTAATATCTATTTTTAACAATATTTAGATAATAGCAATAATTGGATTTCAATTGCAATGTTAAATCTTAGAATAGAAACCCATCTGACCAAATAAATTTATTAACAATTTAAGTGGTAATGAGCCCCTACTTTATTATTTAACTCTGTCTAATGCCAGACGATTTTACACGTCAGGGGTTAATCAGACTATCTGCCTAATTAATGGGTTAATCAGATTATCTGCCTAATGCACCCTGTTAATTTGCCTTCATGTTTTTTTTATTCTGTCTAATGCCAGATGATTTTACTTATTGAGGGAAACTTGTGCACACTAATGGCATCCAGGCTTAGATGCCACCCGTCTTTTGAATGGGCATTTTTAAAAGTGGACGGGCACTTTATTAACCAAAATTCCAATATATTTGGTCTATTTAATTTGCTGACATTTAACAGTCATTGCAAATACCAAAGATATGCTGACCATAAGATACAAGTTCCCATTTATGGGTGTAATATATCTGTGAAATATTTAGTATTTTTGGTTATTTGGTTATTTAATTATTTTATCTTGTAGGTGTTTTGCCAGGTGAATTATCAGCTAAAGTAGTTGCCAAGTGCTTCTGGCACCACGAAGTTGAGCAAGAACTGACTGAAAGAGGTTTGAGGAAGGAATGGGTTTTTGGTCAGCAACAACATGACAAGGAACACAGTGGTACCCATGACAATGTTATGGAGTATGTTGACAAGAAGCGATGTGAAGAGCTTTATTTGCACAATTGTTCCAATCATTGCAGTCAGAAGGGTGAGTCTTCTTGCATTAGTGAGAAAACATATACGCTGCTGTATTAAAAAAGATATTGAATAGCAGTTATCACAGAGATTAGGAAAAACCCTGAAATTCTGAATCAAAATTAACTGAGAAAATCAATATTTGAGTGACCAGATTAAAAAACTGCCGATTCTTTAAATTTAACCAGATGATGCCCAACCAAAGTCATTGAGTATGGAAACCATTATCTATGTTTCACAAATTAAATTTAACCTATTAGGCACTATCAGTACCAGCACTCTCCCCTTCAAAAACTTCAAAATTACTGGGCATTGGATGCAATATTAAAAAGCCTATGGGTAGTACATGTAGTCTATAGGTATCCTTCTTTATCAAACTAAATGGAAGTTAGAAAATGGTTTATTGGGCTTCATGGAAATACTAGGCTGTTGCGGTATATCGATATGCTGATAATTATCGTTTTTTTTTATAAATACCGATTACTCGAAAACGACAAACTTGTTTGGCATATTATGCACCTTGGCATTGCAAGGTGCATAATATGTCATTTCGCTTGTCGAAAAGTGAACTTTTAGATGACATGTAAACAACGGTGGATTACAAAATGTTTTAGAAAAAAACAAAAACTAACCTCATTGGACATTGTTTATCTTTGTTTCAAATTCACAGTTGAATAACATGTTTTGAAACAAATTTCCCGGTCAAAAATATCACACATCGCGGTAATCAATGCTAATATGCATTTTCAATTTCTAAAGCGGATATTTCACAGACTACTGATCACTGGCCTCACAATTCATTGAAAATATCACACACCCGATGAGTCAAAGCTGTTATATCGTGGCTGTTCGGCATAATTTGGAAACAGAAAATTTTGCATCCCGAAAAATACCGATATATCAGTATTATCGGTATTTTTCTTCCGGTATCGGCTTCGTTTTTTTTCAAATACCGCAACAGGCCTACATGGAAACAGGTTGGGTGAAAACTATAAAATGATTGATTTTTGAATAATTGATATTTCATACCATTTGCAAATTTTCATTTGTGTAGGGTGTGGAAAACTTTATGTGGCTGACGGAAATTGGAAGTTACGATATGCCCACTGTATGTGGAAGGTCCCAGTTTGTGTGGCTGGTTTTGGGAAAGTCAACTATCCCAGTATTTGCCCCCTATCCCCCAAAAGAGGACATGCTTTCTGCGAGGCACATTGTGAAAAGGCGCTGAACATGGGCTATGAATCAGGGTTGAAAGAATTTTATCAACGATGTGGAGTGACTGGTGTTGATATCAACCAAGGTATGCAAACGATGTTGTGTGTATTGTGTCATCTTTATAATTAATTTCTAATAATTAATTTTTTCTTTGTTTTAGCACTGGATGAAATGTCATCACAGCCATTCTTATCTGGTAAACTGACCATTTCCTTTAATTTATTTAATTTATAAAGATTTATTACCTATGCTTTATCCCCTAGTCAACACTCAAGTATTCTCTGCTTGTAATTTTAGATTCATCATTTAAAGCTGTTTCTTGTAACATCGACCAATTTGCTGATACAGATCTTGATGAAAGCTCCCCAAATGCTTCCACATTCCAAGGTAGTGTGTTAACAGATTTAACAGAATTGTAACTATAGTTGAGATGCATGTACAGGTATTTAACAGAATTGTAACTGTAGTTGGGACTTGAGATGTACAGGTATTTAACAGAATTGTAACTGTAGTTGGGACTTGAGATATACACGTATTTAACAGAATTGTAACTTATATAGTTGAGATGTACAGGTATGCAGCGACATATCACATGGACTGGTTGTTCAGTTTAAATCATCCAAGTCCTGATTTCCATTTAGTTGTAACTGTTGTGAACATATCAAGGTGACCAATGTAATATAGAGTGTCAATGTGTTTTTACAGTCTGTAAAAACACTGTAGATCCAGATTATTTCACATCGTTGAACATGATGTGGTCACAACAGTTACAACGAAATGTAAAGGCTTAAGAAAGGTCATGCAAAGAAAACTGTTGAGGTGACAGCTGTTCACAGGCCCTTACAGTCAAAGAGATTGTCAATAACTCACAGTCAAGAACTTAGTTAATTAATTCTTTTGTTATTATTATGTAGGTACAAGCAATTTCTTGTTAAACAACCCATCATTTGTGGAGGATTGTGGTGTTGAAGATGAAGTGAAATGCAACAAAGATACAGGAGGCTTAAAATCATTGCATTTTTGGTCACGAGGAATATTTTTTACAGTGAGCGCTGGTGGCCATAAAGAATACTGGCAGCCACTTTACAAGTAAGTTATTTTTAAGCCTGAAACTAAAAGTTTATTTAGCCAACTGCCACAATCTGATCACAAAATTTGTTTTCAGATGCCTAAATGAGAGCTTTTAAAAAACTTAATATGCACTGCATTATTAATGTTCTTTCATACATAGGTCAGAATCGCCTACACAAGCCTGGCTTATAACCGTTCTCTGGCTTTATCGAAAATTTAAATTGCTGGAAGATGCAGGATTCAGTGAAGAGAAAATTCTTGATGAAATGAAATCAACCGTCCTTGCCTACAACAACATGTGCCACGTTGATAATTTAAGAATATCAAGAAATGATTTGCCTTTGCCTCGTCCCTATGATAAGTTATGGAAGTGCATTAATAAGGTTATTGATCGATTGCACCTAAGAAACCATGTCGATCAGAAATGCCATAGAGTTTACAACCCGGATGACAAAATCCCCAAGAATTTTAACACAATGGCATGTGAACAGACATTTGTGTGGGCCAGCAGGTTCAAGAAAGTTATGTGTGCTATGCCACATATCCACCAGTTCTTTTTCCTTCACAGAATTGTAAAGTACAGGAACAAGTACACCGAGAAATGCCATGTTAACAGTAAAGTGCCTATGCTTCCAAAGGTAACAAATATGAAAGGTCCTTGACTGCTTATTGATAGTTAGTTTTTGATAGGTAGATAGTTTTTTTGATAGTTTTTTGCAAAGTTAAAAAATTATGAAATTCATTTCAAAATTCCACTAAAATAAAAGTGCCAATACACCCTTTCGATAATTACGTCACAACTACACTGTTTTCAACTTAGGACCACCTTAAATGGAAAGGATTTCAAGTTTTTTTCTCATGGGCTATGCACAGAGAAGCAGAACATCCTTCTTCAACACATGCATAAAAAATAATTCTTCATTTTGACCAACAAATGTGGAAATAAGCTTTAATACGAAAATGAGGCTCCAGATCATCTGGAGTCTCGTTTTCGTGTTAAAGCTTATTTCCACATTTATTGATCAAAATCCAAAATTTGTTTTCATTTGTTGAAGAATGTTCTGCTTCTGTGCATAGCCCATGAGAAAAAAACGTGAATTGAAAACAGTGTAGTTGTGACGTAATTATCGAAAGGGTGTATTAACAATGTCAGGAAGTGAATTAACAATGAATTAGTATAGTTAATCATGCGATGGCGAGTACAATTCGGGATTAATAGTACAAGTGATGTTTGGAAATTTTGCCAAAATTGGACGAGTCACCGGGGCGAGTCCAATTTGGCAAAATTTCCAAACATCACGAGTACTATTAATCCCTAATTGTACGAGCAACATCGCATGATTACTTGTTTATTATTAGCATGACAAAATTGGATGCGTTATACGTACTTCTCAATGTCAACATCAAATTCTCTCGCCACAGCCCAGTCCTGCCAGACTTTCAACCAAAATTTGGTGCTTTTGTTTGTATTTTTATTTAGTTCTTTTGTTAAAGCAAAATTTGGTGCTTTTGCTCCTATTTTCATCTAGTTCCTCCACGGCAATTTCATTTTACGCTTGTGTTTAAAATACGTTTCCGCCATTTTGTTTGTTTTGGGAAAATCATTAATTGTACTGCAGTACAATTAATGAAATAATTGTACTCCTCTCAACCAATCAGCATCCAGTAATTTTGTCATGCTAATAATAAACAATGTTAGGAAGGCTTAGAGCTGGGTAATAGCTTATTTGGAACATGAAATTAAATCTTAACAGTAGTTTAATTTCGAATTGTATGATATTTGATTGTGTAATGTAGTCATTTTAATAATTAATACATGCCACATGGCAGTCGAATAGCTGACTTCTTCTAAACAAATGGTTAATTGAATTCATATAATAGAATTTTATTTGAGAACGAGGCTTGAGCTCAAATCGACGACGGCCATTTTCATGTTTCATCACCAACATGCATTTTGTAATGTAAAATTGTGTTTGGTGAGCAAGACCAAGTCTTAGTTATGTTCCAAAGTAAGACAAGACTATTTCAGTTTACTTAAAAGACATGCAACAGAATAAAAATCCAATTTGGTCAATTTACAGTATTGAATAACTTGACTTGTTTCTTTTATGAAACTAGTCCAGTTGAAACTTTGTATGAATTTTTACCACAAGTCCATGACAAATCTAGTAATATAATGAAATATATTACTCGAGATATTAAGCAATTTGTACCTGCATGAAAATGGATTTCTATTTAATGATTAGCCCAGTCCTTTTCCGTGTTTCCAAAATCACCTGCAAGCAAGCTTATTATATAACACGAACTTAGATTCAAAATTATTTTACATGGTTTCCTAGTAAACGTTAATTTTTATTGCAAACAAGGTACTATTGTCACTAGGTTAAAAAGGAATTTCAACATTCCCTCGTCATTTTGCCACTCTTGCAAAAATGGTGTCAGAACCCGGAAAAACGTGGTTCTAAACCCAACTTTATGAATAATGTATATATAGTGTCGCTATTGTCGCTATAGTGTAAGTAAACAGTATTCTAATGTAAATATATATAATCTAACAAACTGTATTTTTGAGTAAAAGTTACTTGCAGTCTTTGCATTTAAGAGTGGATGTCAGCAAAAATCGGATATTTTAGCAAATTCGCGGCAACGGTCGAGAAATCGATTCCGTTCATATTTTAACTATATATAGGCCCTAATGTAAGAAATACCACTGTGTAGTTTGCTTGGTGAAATACGGCTTAGTATTGGATAAAATCGCAGAAAATACTTTTCGAATTAAATTCACTAATTTTGAGCCGATAATTTAGGTTAACCTCAACAACTTCTCGGGGCGAAACAAAATAACCCAGCACTGTAGTAATCTCACGCGATGTTAATTGCTATCTTAATATGCAACAGGTAGAGTTTCAGCCATTATTGTTCGGGGTTTTGATTTTTATTGAAGTTATTTTTGGAACACATAGAAAATCTCTCTCAAAATATGTTCAAAGTAAACTAATATTTTTCCATGTGCGACGAAATTTTTTTTACTATAAAACAACCCATAATTGCCTTTAAATGGTGTATTTTGTGAGTCGTTTACAATTTTCTTGGGGAAATTATTTTTCGTGATGCAGCGCATCCCCAAAGTTGTAAGAAATTTACAAATTTTGCCTGTCGGCAAGATCAATCAATTTATGTATTGTGTACATATGTAGCGTTTATAAAAGCAGCTCAGTGTTTGTATTTTAAATTAAGAACAAACTGAATGTTCTACATTGTAAAAGGAACTGACTAATCACAAACTATGTTAAATTCCCTTTTTAAATTAAAATCCATCGATTGACCCATATAGTGTCTACTAGTAAGTGCATAATATTGGTGTCTATTTCTATCTATCGTCAAACTCACATTTTATACGAGTCATTTCGACAAAACGAATATTTTATGTGTAATAAACAAACCGGACGTAATTCATTGACATTTTCAAAATTTCCTGTCCTTTTCAGCTGCTCGTCTTTTATGCTTATCATTCCGGATACGTTATCGAGGGTTTACTAATATTAGTATAAAGATGATCCTCTTTAAATAATAGAATATTCTGACGTGTTTACCTTTGACGCCATATCATTGTAATCTAGTTCAGCAACCGCAACTTTGAACCAGTTTTTCTAGCAAATCAATGTACGGTTTTTTGAATTTGCGCTTGCCAGTGCTGTCAGTAATATTAAGTTCGAATGAAGAACAAATTTCTTGTAGCATGTAAACAGAGAATTTGGAAAGTTTTCTTTGACTTGTTAATTCACAAATATTGTGCCTATCGAACATTATTGGATGCTTCAGGCCAATTGCGTCAATCAAGGAAGCTGATAATTCTTCGATTTCTTGTCCTTTTCTCTTTTCGAAATCTTTCTTATTTAAATCGTCTTCCTCGTAGTCATTGTCATCACCATCACCCCTTTCTTCATTATCTTTATCGCCCGCTGTATTTTCCCTTCTTTTTTTCGCCAATCGTGAGAAGAAACTTGCAATCTGCTGCGGTGTCAAAAAGTCGCCCTTGTTAAAAAGTCGCGAGCCGTCGCTGTTTCTTGTAGATCTCATTGCTCTTGACACATCACCTGGATCGGCTTTTCGCCCTGTTTGCTCTCCAGCATCAAACACGTCAACCAGGTACTTCTTCTGAACATCGGAAAACCGCTTTCCCTTAGAGGAAGTTCTCAAAGCCCAGCCCATCTGAAGTTCAGGGCCAATATCTGGCCCTGGCAACTCGACGCTCTCTGACTCCGTTGGTATCGGGTTTTTACTGGATCCTTCTTCCAGTTTTGTTGCATATAGCTTCATAGCCTTGTCATAAAGGGTTTCATGCTCTAGTACGTAGGTATGGTTGTCACAATGCAAAGGTCTTTCTAGAGAAGAGTACCTGTGGAATGATTTAATGCAGCCTTGTTCAGGACAGAGAAATAATTTGCTGTACGTGTCGACTCTTTCATCATTGCTTTCGTCCTCCATTGGATCAGTATTATTTTGTTCGCGAGATTTCTTTGGTTGTTGTCTTGCTTTCACTGCGACGAATGATACTGTGTCCTCGGTTTCCTCGCTATGGATAAGTTTTGGTACCGTTGGGGGTTGACAGAAATTGGTTAAAGGAAGGACTTTGCCTGGACCATTATTGTATGCCATCCACACCGTCATGGACTCGTTGCGGTACTCTATGTTGTTAATGAGACTCACACCATCCCATTCCCCTGCCATTCCCTTGACACCAGGTGGTGGAGCGCACACTGTTACTTTCACTCCTGGGATGCCTTCAAAGGACTTGATTGCTGCCTTCATTTGCTCGTGATTTTCGATATCGTTCCCTGAATTCAGGTATATTTATTCATGTGAGTTTTAATATGAGCTGCCTTTCGGTCGCACGCTCCCTTCCCCCCTTGGGGATCGGAAAAATCGATACGTCTGATTTGAATTCCAGTTGATCTCTCTATCGTTGGCAGAGAAAGCAGAGTTAATGCAGAGTGGTAGCACCCTGCATTATCTTGACGCAGATATACGGTATGCACCTCTGGTGCAATGGTTGAGAGCTGACTTAAGACGTCACGAATGATTGCAACAACAGCGCCACTATCCTGGCTACAAGACTTAAACAAGTGCAAATAAGTAAGAACTTGGAGGTCGCCATCATCATTTTTTTTTGTTAATACCGCTATGTGCCAAGGAAGTCCCCGTTTTGCAAACCAATCTCTTTGGCTTTCGCGGTATTTGCGAGGAATGAATTTCATTGCCCAGTCTAAAACGATAAGTGCAGAATGAGAATCCAAGACTTTTAAAATGTCGTGTCGTGCTGCGTCCTGATTAATTGATCTTAAAATATGTGCTTTCCAGGATCTAATGTGTTGACCTGCTTGTGTAGTAACGTACTCCATGTTTTCTTTCTCTTCAAGAGGGCAATTTACTTCTTCCAAAGATGCGCAAATATCAGCTAGAGTCTCAGGAAATATACTGCATCTATCACACTTTCCCTTGTGCTCATGATCACAGCTGTTAGTATAATTTTCATCATTTGGAAAACTGAGAGCATATGTTCTGCAGTGGTCCGCAACTTCAGAATTGCTAGAAATGTGAATCTAAAAAGAATATATGAATCAGATACAAAATCAACTATTCTAGAATGATTCTTACATGC